GGGGGGGGGGGGGGCAGAGAGCAGGCCACACAGCCTGGAGCTGCGTCTGTCTGTCAGTGGGGAAATTCTGATTCGCCTGAAACCCAGGGACAGGTGTTTGTGTTGGAAGCCACAGAGGTGGCCAGCAGGGTGGGTGAGGGCAGAACCAGGCAGGGAGGTTGGGAGCTGACAATGCACTGCCCCACCCAGAGGGGAGGGACCGTGCCCTCTCTGGCAGGCAGGGCCCCAGATCAGGACACAGCTCTTGAGGGGCAAGCAGGACTCCATGGCATCTAGTTGTAAATATAGGGCACATCCAGTCAGTCCTCTCCACCCCCCACCCCCTTCACACTATACACTACACAAGTTAATTTATAAGGCCCTTTCTTCCCAGGATGTTTCACCTACATTTCCTTTCTCTGCCTTTCACATGATATCTTTTTTCACAAGAGCTAAAACCGCGTGCATGTGTGCACACTATCAATTTTCTAGCTACAGGTGATTGATTCACAAGGAGGCTCAACTGGCCAATATTTCATCCCAGGCACATGCCGCCGCCCCTGTCCTCTGCGGCCTTCCTGGTGGACGGGGTCAGAGTGAAGGCCTTTCTTTGTCACAGTCAACCCCGCCAGACATGACCAGGAAGGGAAGTCTGTCGAGACAAAAACATATGAATGCCTTTCCAGGCCAGATGGGATGGCAGTGGATTGCTAGCTGCTTGGCGGGATTTGTCTGGGAGGCTGGAGTCCAGCCACCTTCTGGGGGGCAGAAAATTGTGTGTGTTGCAACATGTGGCTACTGCCCAGCTCTGTGGACAAGTGGGGCCTCTGACACAGGCTCCAGGGGATAAATCAGGGTAAGGATGGGCTCCCCAGAGTGTGTGGGGGGTGGCAGCCATTGCCCAAAGGTGCAGTGGGGTCCCAGGCATTGGAACTGGGGAGCAGAATCCTTCCGGAAGAGGCAGTCGGTGACCTGACTCCTGTGTGGGAGGAGGGACTCAGGGACGTCTTGCTGGGTTTGGAAAAGTGGGCGATTGGCAGAAGCAGCTGGAATGGGGAAAAAGGACAGCTGGCACCATAGACAGGACTAGGGGCCTGACTCTTGGTTGTTGGCTTCAGCTTGTCC